GGTATGAGCACAATAAAAAATAATGGACATTCAAGGATGTTATGTTCTTCAGGGGACAAAGAAAGACAGAGAGTGTTTACAGACTATAAGGAAAAATGTAATCCAAGTTTACTGCCACCACCCTCAGCATATTTCTTATGCTGTATAATAGTTGTGGTCTCTCAACTTATCTCCCCACTCCAATTTCAGTCTCCTTCTATCCAATGGACTACCAGGTAAATCCTTGTAGGACACAGTTTGGGTCCTGTTTTCGAAACCCCAACACCTACTTTGACTGGGCATTCTTTACTTTTTACAACAGGGCCTCAAACAAACTTTCAAGCCTTATCTCTCAAACGAACCAGACAACTCCCTTGCTCAAACATGTCTCATGTTTTTCTTCCTCCATATTATTCAGTGTTCCCTAAATTGGAGTGCCCCACCTCATTCCTGCCTATCAAACATAAGCTCCTTCACGTGGCCTTACTGGGCTTTCCACCAGACACGAGTTCTCCCTTCTCTCATTCCTACTGTCCTTGCCGCTTTGTTCATATTAGTGTCATTTATGGACCCTGTTCTTGGTTGTGGGCAAGCATTGTCCATTTTACACTTCTGTATATTTCCTCTAGTTCCTTGTGTGTAGCTCACAAATGTTTATTGAATCACATCCAGAATTCTAATTTGAGTATCTCTACCCTGGCTTTGCTAGTTGGTAGCTGTGTGATATTAAGTTACTTAACTTATCTCTCTCAGTCTCAGTTTCCTCATCTGAAAAATGAGGATCATAACAGCACCCATCTCAGGATTTCCACAAAGGATGAAATAAGATAATGAATGCACTTAGGGTGCCGAGTACTGTGCTTGGGTGCAGTAGGAGCTATGGATTGTCAGAAAAGAAAAGATCCATTTAGGCTGGAGGAATAATGAAGTAGGATGTGACCTAGGAAGTGACTAGATGACCCACCCTAACGAAGACTTCAGAAGAAACGGAAGAGCAGGATTTGCTGAGGACAGGGCTGGTCAAGTCTCGGAAAGTACCTTTGGAGAGATTCCCCAGGAAGAGAGGCAAAGAAGAAAAGAACAGGCAGAGTAAGTTTTCCAGGAGTGTGGATCAGGAGGTTGGAAGGAGAGGTTTGCTGAAGATTTCTGTCACTGCGTTTGCCCCTTCCAGTAACAGCAAAAAATTTAGAAGTGGTGGCCAGTTAGATGGGTGACAGAATCAAATCAGCATGTGTTTATAGCAAGTTGCAGCAAAAGATGAAAATGGGCAAAATGACAACTAGGTGCTAATTATTAGCGGAGTTAAACTTAAAATCCTACATTTGTGTTAAAGAATTATCGAAATTCATGAAAGAGTAAATTTGGCTTAGTATCAGTTTCTGGGGAAAAAGCTCTCTAGGAAAAGAGCGGAAAGGATTGGTTATAAAGTCAGTTTAAGCTACTAAATTTGCTAATGCAATCATCTAGTGTACGAATGCAGGAGTCCCCAAACCCCAGGCCGCGCACCAGTACCAGGCTGTGGCCTGTTAGGAACTGGGCCGCACAGCAGGAGGTGAATGGAGGGCAAGTGAGCAAATCTTCATCTGTATTTGCAGCCGCTCCCCAGCGCCAGCATCACCACCTCAGCTCTACCTCAGATGATCAGGCCCTAGATTCTCATAGGACCACTGGTCCCTGATGCCAAAAAAGATTGGGGACCACTGCACTAAGGGATGTAGGGAGTCAGCCCAAGGTCTCACTGTGCTTTGTGGTGGTCAGATCACACCTGAGTATTTTATGTAGCCATATTTTGGCTGCACAGAACAGAAACTCAACTGAGAAAGGAATGTATTGGCCCACTTGAGCAGCTGACCCAAATGGTGCCCCTCCCCGATCTCTTTAACGGGCCAGTGCACCCATTCCCCAGCTGCTGTGAGTGTTGGCAGCTAAGGGTTCTCAGATGCCTGAAATTCCAGAGAATTGCCCTCAGCTGAAGGGAGCAACTTTGGTGACCTTAATCCCCTCATGGCCTGTAGCCAAAGGCTGACTGATACTGAGGTACACAGAGCTGCCCATTGCCTCACGGGGGGCGGCGGGGGTGGGGGGGACTGGGATAACTCCGTGGTGTGTGTGGCCTGTGCTCCAGAGCTCTCCACTGTGGATCTGGCCAAGGTGAGGTTGGGCTGAGCCTTGGATCTTTCACTTTCCCTGTCCTGCTCCACTTCCCCCCTTACAGGTTTTTCCTCACTTAATAAATCCCATCTGTTCCTAAGGACGTGACCTAAGATACCTACAAAATCAAATAGCCAGAAAATAGCTGGATTCAGGTTCTCAAACAAAGTTACTACCCATTGGGGCCTTTATTTGTATCTCAGCTTTGATAATTTGTTTTGGTATTGGCTTTATTTTCGAGCATGTTCTTTCCTGTGGTCTTCCCTGTCAACTCCAGGTGCGTAGCCAGACAGTTCAGCAGCCCCAGTGCAAAGAGTAGTTTTCTGTCCCAGTAGTTCCAACAAAGGTCCCAGGACTCATTCTGATTGAACCGCCATGAGTCACATGCCTTTCCCTAAATCAATCACTACTGATGTTGGTGATGGGGAGGGGTGACCAGTGCTTTGATTGGTTGGGACTGGGCCATGTCCTCCCCACTGGCAAGGTGAGTAGTGGAGTCAGCCCCATGGCAGCCATATGGGCAGAGAGTGGGGAGGGGTGGTTCCCCAGAGAAGATTAGGCTACCCTTGCCAGAGGAAAGGGAACATTTGCTTGAAGGATAAAAATAACACATGTCCCCAATGGATCCTGACAAACTGAAAGATGTTTGTGTGAACCTATTAGGATGGTGAGGCGCACAAAAACCATCATCTGAGGAATGGTGGCAAGAAAAAGGGACTTCGTCTCTATTGTTCTGAGATGGGTAGAGGGTGTGGGAAAGGGCATAATCATCATCTTCAAATATTTAGAATGTTGTCATGATGAAGTGGGATTAGACATGTTCTGTGAAGCTGTATGGGAAACCAGAGATTAGAGAAAGGCAGATCATCCATAAGAAGTACATTAATAAATTATATATACATATGTATGTAACATATACATGTATGTATACATAAAATGTTTACAATTTAAGTAGTCCATAAAAAGAACAGGCCTATCTGGGAGGTGGTGAGCTTGAGCTTGTCATGCCTGGGAAGCTGTGAATGGGCATATCACTCTTCCCATGACTAAAAAAATACACTTGTGCTTCCTTCTTACTTTGGCTTTTTCACAGAGGCTGTGTCTAGGTAGACCCTATCTGGAAAGCCCCACCCCAGTTTTGTCTTAGAGAACCCTGTCCCACCCCAATAATTCCAACAAGCTGTACTTTATCTGAGGCCTACCTCGGGGCACTCTTGTTAGTCATGACATTTAGGATTTGGCCTGGAGTTACAATCATCTTGGCATATGCCTCAACTTCCCCCAGTTTGGCGAACTTGCCCCTAGGGCAGTGACTATCTCATCTTACCCTCTGTGTCTTGCTCACATATTTGTTGAATAAATTAATCAGGACTTTTGTGAGAAAATTCTTGCCTTGGGGTGAAGGTGTGTGACTAAGGGGCCACAAGGATCCTGCCCAGCTCTAAGATTCTGTGACTACCGTGTGGCCCTGAACTTGAAAATGACGTATAGGTGAATAACTGGGAATACCCAGGGCCACCTTGGCTGTAGCAGCTGTTGGAAGGGGTTGAGGAGGCACCCTCCCCTGCTCTTCTTTGTTGAGTTGCACAGATGGGCAGTCCCTGGAGACTTTGGGGGTGAACAGGGAATCACAGTAAGAATTTACCCTTGAATGTAAAACGACTTGCCCCTTTTCAGTCTTTGTGCCTTGGCACTGCTGCTCCCGAAACGTGGAAGAATGCCCTAGCTCCTTCTTCCTCTAGCTACTGTTACTCCTTCCTCCAACCCTGCCTGGTGACACCATCCCCAGGAAGCTTCGGGAAAGCACTTCACCCTCTTTTCCTCCCTGCCAAGTTGGAGTTATTTCTCCTTTTCTGGGTTCCCTCCCATTGCTGGGGGAGGGGGAGCAAACGGTCTGCTTCACCAAGGCACTTACCACCGCGGACCTTGCTTTACCTGTGTTCGTGCCCCTTTAGCCAGCAGTCTTTCTCCTCGTTGACGTTAGGAACCAGGTTCATGTGTGGCCTCTGTGCCTAATTTAGGAGACACGCGCGCGCGCACACACATGCACACACCTTCGCTTCAGGAGTGGGTGCCGGAAAAAGCAGGACATCAGCATTTTAGAATTTTAGAATTGGAAGAGTCGTCGGGAGTCACCTAGTGCAGCCCTCCCTTTTACAGATGCTCTTCCTGGAGGCTCCTGATACACAAGCTTTTGGCTTCATTCAGCCCCTTTTCTTCTCGAAGCCCAAAGCACTTTCGCCGTTGATGATTTCAACATTGCAGGCAGGTAGGGAGGGGTAGGCAGATGTCTGTATCCTCCCTTTTATCGTTGGGGACACTGACTCAGGCGACCGGCCTCGGTGGGGCGGGGGCTGTAACGGGAATTCAGGGCTTCGGGCCAGTGTGAAATTTATTGTCTCTTTTTGGGAAGTGTGAAAGTGAAGTAATCGATTTACGAGCTCCAGGCGATACCCTTCAGCCCTCTAGAAGGATGTCGATGGGGTCGGGAGGATTAATGCAGTAAAAGAGCTCGTGGCATTGACCCATGGGCAACTTCGCGAGGTCCAGCCGGGTCCCCCGCCCCTGTCAGGGTGACCAATGGGCTGAGGCCTCTTTAAGGGCCCCCCCACGCTCCGCCCCCGGCTCTTCGCCGACCTCCTCCCACCTCCTGGCCGCGGCTCCGCCAGTTCCTGACTTCCCTCGACGATGAGGTCACCTCCCAGTTGCCCATTGGCTGCGCTGGGCCGTCAGTCACAGGAAGTCCCGCCTCCGTCCTCACCTCCCTCACACCCCTCCCTTCCTCGCTCTTTCCTAAGCCCGCCGGGCCCGGCCTCCACGAGACCGCTGATTGGCCAGCGCCGCCGTCACTCCTCCAGCGGGCGGCGTGGAAGGCCGAAGGCGGGCGTGGTGGGCGGGTCCGCAGTTTCCGTGGCCAAGAGGAGCCGGCGGCCGCTGTGTCTGTGGTGGCCGTGGCGGCGGCGAGAACAACCGTCCCATTCTCCCCACCTCCTCGGCTCCGCTTGCCCCACGCCCTCCGCTCGCGCCGACTTCTCTGCAGCTCTGAGCGCCCTGGCTGGACGTTGAGGCTCGGGAGGAGACGCGCGCTGTGAAAGCCGAGCGGGTACTGCCGCGGAGCCCGGGCCGGGTGGAGAACGAGGCGGTGAGTGAGAGTCCGGCCGGGGACCCCTCCCCCACCGCGGCGCCGCCTAGCCCGAGCATCCTTTCTCCTCACGACCCCGCAGTGCGCGCCCTCGGGGAGTCGGGCGGGTCCGGCCTCGCGCTCCCCAACCTC